TTTACTTTTTTGGAAAAGGTGGCTACCCAGGTAAGGAAAATGCTTGACTTCCTCTAAGGCTTGCCCTCTAACTGTAATATGTGGAGAAGCAATTGACTGATTTGGGGTGGGTTGGTAAAGTATCTTGGTTTTGTGATGTTGACAGTGAGCCCAATAATTTAATGCACTTCACAGAAACCATTAAGAGTGACCTGGAGCTCTTCAACTGAGTGGGCACACATGACACAAATGTCAGTGTACTGAAGATCAGTAATGGAGGTGTTGGTTATCTTGGATTTGGAATGCAACCAGTTGATGTTAAAGAGATTCCTGTCCATATTATACTGGATGCTGATGCTAGATGGGAGCTTATCAGCAATGAATTATTATCTCTGTTCCACTGGTGTCTAAAAGCCCTAGTCTTGGAAAAGGACCCTCTGGTGCCAGGTGATGTACTAACTCTGAACAGAATGACAGTCCCTGCTCCAAAGACCTGAGAATGTATCCATCGTGGGCATTCTCAATGGTGGCACCATGGTCCCCTGCTGGGAGTACACTGTAAGTAGAAGGAGAAGTAAGTCTGGATAATGCCAAAGCTCTGGGTGAATTCTGCACTGGCCACATTGCAATAGGGAAGTGTTAGAATTCATCCATTGTGATAGGTGTGTAACATGCTAACCCAGCTGGATAACCACCTCAGTGCCTTCATTTCCCTTCTTCAGAGCAGAATTATTTCACGTTGCTCTACCATGTTCCCCTGGGAAGCTTCACTCTGTAATTCACTAGAAAAAAATACAGAGCTACTTGCTTCACACATTTTAATCCAGCCACTAAAGGCATCCTTGTCACTAAATCCATTGAACATTACCAGGTACCTGCTGGCTAGATACACCAGGGAAAAAACAACAAGGCATCATTGCTGCTAGTGTTCTAGCCTGAAACTGTAATGCATGAATATGTCTAGAGGGGAGCTGTAGTCCATAACATGCTGGTCTTTGAACCAGGAAGTCCTTGCAAACATGATGGGACACAAGGCTGCAAGACTGTATACTAACACTCTTCTAGCTGTTTCCCTCTCTAACCTGCAGGGACAAGGCACGTGTGTTACTAAGAGTATATGGGTGAGTGTGTGCTCTGTATATATCAGTGTCTATGGATCTGAGTATGAAGCATGACTGTGACTATGATTCATGACTGTGCAGGAGTGGAAGGCATTGTGGCTGCAGAGAGGGATGTGATTACAACTCTCAGGGTGAATGCGCACTGGTCTGTGTGTGAATTTTCACCAGCACGTGGATGACTTGAATGTATGTGTGAGAGTGGGGGAAAGGGTGACACACTCAGGGACAGGTAACAAAAAGGAGTAGCAATTAAAGTAATTCTCCCACCCCTCCTTCCCCAATTAATTCATGTTTGCACACTGCTTCCAAAGTGTTGCTGTTATTTGGATGATGTCTGTCACCCACTTACCAGCTGCCCCTAAACCAAAAAAACAAGAGATCTGAGTCCACCATGTCCCCTTATACTAGGGAAGTCATTTTGGCAGCAATGACTTTTACCCCAAGCTAATGTGAGGTGCCTTCCTGCCTCTCTTTCCAGGAGCACTCTTCCAGTGCACCATCAGTCACATTGGCCCAGAGTGACAGCAGAGTTTCTGCTAAGCCATTCAGTCATGCTCACTCTAATACAGGAACAGGGAAGCAGTGATTACCAGCTCCTGGTATCCTACCTGGTAACACAGCCTGGTACTAAGGCCATCATCCTGTGCCTATCACTCATATGCTAGGGTCAGAAATGTCCGATTTACTAGCTGTCATGGCTTGATAGTATTTCCAAACCCCAAACCAACTGAAAATGCTTCTAAACTTTACCCAGAAGTTCCTGTCAGCACCAGGCAGCTAAACAAGGAGTGCCAGAAAACTCATTCATCCAATTTGAGGCAGCTTGGCAGAGCCAATGGATATAAGCACAGCTGCTGGAAGTTACAGGGTTGTGCCTGGCCTGAAGGAGCTCTGACTAGCTGATGGCAAGACTGTCTTCTGCTAGAACCATGTGCTGTGGTGGTATAAATTGGTGTTACCCCACAGTAGTCACAATGATTTACACCAACTGAGAATCTGGCCCCTCGAATTTTTAATGCCCATCTAAATAATCATCTAAACTGTCCAGTGCCATGTCAATGAGCCACTTCACTGCTGGTAGGTAAGTTCATCAGGCCAAGAGGTATCTCTCCTTCCTGAATGCTGTATCAAGGCATCCTAAAATGGCTCAGTGATTTCAACAGGATGCTAAGAGAGGATGGACTGAAAGACCATCTGCAAACCAGTGTGTCTACTGGTTATGCAAAGCAATATACTGTCCGGTCCCCAGGTTAGCAGCTATTTAAATTAACCCAAAAAGATGTAATCCTCCTAGAGCAGATTTCTGAGGGTGAATAGGTCCATATTTAACAATTGGCCTGATCGTAGAGCTGTATCTGAATATAGTTGTTCTTTTGCACCAGTGTTGAAAACAAAAGCAGTCGAGCCCATGCATCGCATTATTTGACAACCCTCTTGCATGCCAAATGCTGTGCAGACTCCCAAGGCCTCTCTGGATCACTGGCCTGGTTAGCAAAGAGATGAGATCATCAGGCAGAGGCCTCCTCTAAGATAAGTGCTGCAGCTCTCACCTGTATGCAGAAGGCCTTGGGTTTTAAAGTCATGACCAAAAGATGCACAATACTAAGAGCGCAGATCTTAGAGGATGATGCGATGAGTCAAGTCTGAGAGGCATCAAACCTGTGGCTCCAGGGAACCTTGGCATTTCCAGACTCGTGCTTTGGCCCTGAGGATGCCTGCTGCCCTCTGGGGCAGGGCTGGGACCTTGTCACTGCTGTCATGAGGACAAGATCTCACAAGACCATTGCTCCTACCACCCTGGGACCTTTTCCCTGTAAGCTGAGTGCTCGGTAGGACTGGGAGAAGGGATGTGATGGTAAAAAGTGAGGAAGCTTCCAGAAAGGCCGATGAGTGGAATACGAGATAGCTGGGGAGCTTTACATTACTCAATACCTGAGACGTCTCACTCCTTTTTTTACTTGCTTTCTGTGACCCTGGCTCTTTTTACTCTGGCTTCCTAGTGCAGCTATCATGACAGAAAACAAAGACTTAAAATTCATAGGTGTTACTTAGCTAAGCCACTGTAAGAGCTTATTCAGCACCCCTGTGAGGTACTGCTGCTGCCATTTTACAGGGGGGAAACTGGGGTGCAGGGAGCCTAAGGTTGTGCCAACACATCAAACTTAGCAAGCCCAAGAGTGACGTTCTCCAGCCTGTTGCACTTCCCCCTAAACCAACAGCAGTGTAGTGCTTCAGGGGAGTTAATTAGCACTGCTGAGAGACAGATCTAATTAACCTGTCCTTAGAGTCATTCAGACATGGCTACCCAGCTTCTGGTTTAGAAAGCAGTCCACCAGGAGCAGCCCAGTGTGCTGGAGGACACTGCTCTGAAGCATGGTAAGTCTATGCTACAGACATGGTTTAAAATAGAGAGAGGTCCCACAGACAGTCTGCAGAAGAGCCAGCACTTCAAACCCACTTCCTGAAGGCCCAAGTTAATACCCCTAACCACTGGACAAGGCTCCAATTGTGCAACTGAAGCAGGTAGGTGAGATGAATCTGCCCAAATGAATATGCATTTCTTTTGGCATTATAGTTTTTTTTATGTCTGGTTAGTCCTTTGATGGCCCTAAAATGGTTTGGAGCTTCAGCTAGTATAAATTAGCTCCACTGACTAGAGTGAAGTTACACTGATTGACACCTGTTGAGGACCTGGCCAAGCATGCTTGTTTTTCTGCACATCTGCTCTTGTTAGTATGGAGTGTGGTTCAGAAAGACTTTTGCCACGTCTGTCTCTTGTATTGATCCTGGACACAAGATTGCTTGCTTCTTTTATAATGTGAATAGCATCACTGTCTATGCATAAGGCACAACTAATCGGGCAATATTACAGTAAATAACTGGTTGTCCCTGTTGACTCAGCAGATCCTGGCATGGGAAAAATACTGGGTTAGAGAGCCAACATCAAGGTGTTCCCACCCTTTAAGCAAAACTTTACCATGAAGGGAGAAGGGCAAACATTTGCCCACACACAGATGCAGGATCTTATCTTTGCCCCAGATCTGCTGGGGTGTGAACAGGTCTGCCATTTAACTGGAAAAAATGTCTTGTGTTACTAGAACAACACCATGGGGTCTGGGATGTAGTGATCATGGAGGCCTGTGTCGGAGCAAAAAGCAGGAAAAATATGAGGTCATTCTCTGGATGGTGCTATACTCCCTAGAGGTAAAACTGGACCATCATCAAACCTGAGAGCCACTGTGCTTATTCCAGCTTACTGCTGGTTTACTTACCATTTATCAATCCCAATCTCATCATTGTACTAGCAGTCCTCCTACCTCCTCCCAGGTCAAGTTATGTGCTGCACTCCACTTCCTACAAGCCACCACTGCTTCTTGCTTCCTTAATAAACTCTGCTGGCCTCAACAGGCTGACTCTAGGGCTGATGGGAACTGCAGCACTTTGCTCCAGGCAACTCAGTTTGGAGCAGACCATTGACTAAAATTGCAGTGTGAGAGATCTCTCTAGGGTCCTGGCACCTATAAGGAGAATGTACAGGGGCTTATGGAGAAGTGACAGAGTTTGGTCCCTTAAGTAGTTAGTCAATTCAGATGGGCTTCAAGCCTGTTTCCTGGATAGCCTGAAGGAGCAAATAATGACAGTGACTGCAGCGGGGTATTAAAGCAGTAACTGGCACTGCAGGATCTAGTCTCTGCCCTATCATTTCAAGCAGCATCAGTACATAGGTTTTGTGTGGGACTGGCAAGCTCCCCAGAATAGCTCGGATTTGCCTGCAAGTCTTAATGTTGATTGCCTGAAGCTCCTTAACCAAGATACTAGCCAACTGTCCAAAACAGCCAATGCGGCTGCTGCCAACCTCCTACAGGGAAAAACAAAACAAGCAGACACTCTGGTACTTACCAAAGCATTTACTTTGGTTGGTGGCACGGTCAACAAAGACTTTGGCAGAGATGACATTGCCAAAAGGCAAAAACATCTGCATGAGCTCCGCATCTCCGAACTCCTGGGGCAGGTGATAAATAAACAGGTTACAGCCTTCGGGACCTGGGATAACACACATGCACACACAAAGGACAGCCACACATTAGCAAAGAGGCCACAGGTGCCAACCTCCTCTTTCTCAGACTTGGGCAGTATACTGCCTCAGTTCTCATTTCAATAAGCATCTTCATCCACCTATTCAACTCTCTAGTAAATCACTAGTGTATCCTTCTGTCATTCACCCACCTTACCATCCATCCTCCCCACCCCTGTCTCTAAAGCTGCTCATTTCACCATTTATCCATTCACCCCTATGGCCCAGTTATTCCTTTGCTCTGCTGATGTACCAATCCATCCAGTCATCTGCCCCCACACATTTCTCCCATCTCTAAATCTTTTCATTTAATTGGTTTTGTATTAGTTTTCCATCCAAAAGTCACTTAGGAATCCAACTGCCTCCTTTCAGAGCCATCAATACGTCCATTACCTTGTTTCAGTTTCTGTCTGATTTCTTCCACCTTCTCACTTTTTTGTCCATCCAATTGTGGGCTATGTCTATTCCCCACTCCTCTGTTTTAATACCACTCACCCACATCAACTTATCTTTCTTCTCATTCACCCTTTTCCTTCATCTATATCTCATCCAACCACCAATCTCTGGAATCATATGGAAACACCTAGCATATACCAACACATACTATTGGTTATCTTCTTCCTCTAAAATGAGACTGATTTCTAATAAGCATCTCTGGTAGCAGGGACCTCACTTCCCTTACCCTAATCTGAAGAAAAAGATATGAATATTTCTTATTGAGACTATTCCTTTAGCTCCTGCTGTGGAAATGCTTTCTTTCAAGACCCACTCTGTTCACAAAAGCCACTAAGTCTAACAAAATTTACTTACCTTTCTTTTTGAATGGGTGTTCTCTTTCTCATATCTATAACTTTATTGATCAACAGATCTAATGATTTCAATGCCCCACAGCCCCCAGAAGAGCAATACAACTTTATACAAGATCGGTTAATAGGCCTGCACAAATTAATCTGCCTTTGTTTATCACGGTAATAGATCATCCCATCCCCTGCAGAAGGTTTCATCCTCTTACCTTCTCTCTGCTGCTGTGGAATGATGGGAGCTTGCTGGGGAAAGGCCTGGCTGATAGGTGCATAGGCTGCTGGGGATGAGGCTGGAACACAGACAAACAAAATGATCAAGCCTCAGAGCCCTGTCCCACTTGGCTTTGACAGTACAGCCTCATGTCACAAAGGTCACCCCCAGCAGATGGTTCTGAGACACCCAGACAAAGGGACTGAAACCCTGTGACAACAACCCCAAGCGCTGGCCTTCTGAGCTTGGCTCAGCTTGTAGGACCTCCCAGGAAGCAGACTCTTGCTTAGTCCTATAGCCTCCCAGTTCTACACCTAGGAGAGGGCGGGGTGGGATTCATGCAAGAGAGATCTGTACCAGTTCACAGATTAAGCCCTGCTTTATTACATGGAGATGGGGTGGGGTGGAGAGCCAAAGGAGGGCAGGATGGAGGACATTAGAACAATGGGAATGAAAGCACCCATGGAAGACATGTTCCTGTAAAACCTGTAAGACTACACTCTTTGATTTTACCTTCCACCTGGAGCTGTGCAGTACCTAATAAGCACCAGGGGACACCATTCAACACCTCTCTCCCAACTCAAGCTAGGGATCAATTTATGCCCCCAAAGCAGCTCATCTGCTTCTACCTGATACCCTTGAACCAGCTGCATATCTCAGTGAGGTCTGCTGGGCTGAGCTCCAAGGCAGTTTGCCTCAGGTGTGAGATTAATTAGTTAAAGGGACAGAAAATGGCAAGATGTACAGGCCTTGCCATCCCCCATTCCCAGAAATGGCAGCCAGCAGAAGCATTTTTGAGGCTCAGAATGGCTAAAGACTCCTCCTCAACCTCCTGGAGGACAAGGAAGGCAGCCCCTTCATCCCAAACCATTTTCCTGCCAGACCCTATCTGTTCTTCTCAGTTGGGGCAGACTTCCTTGGGGAAGTCCAGCAGCCTAATGCCCCATCTACAGGGTGTTTCAGGGACAAAATGGAGTTGTCTCCTCCTTAAGGTCCTTGCAAGCATATCTAGGAGGCCACCTTCTCTATTTTTCTCTTTCCAGGTCCCATCAAATCAGAATCCTTTTTCCTCCTACATTTCCATTACCCCATTGCCCGCAGTCACCAGCTTCCCTCCATGTGAACATTCCCTGCTGCTGGTAATGTCACAGCTATTGATATTAGATTGGAGCCTGCCTGTTGGTTGTATGGCAAGGCTAGCTGTCTGTGTATTTAAATCCTGTATACAGGAAATATCTCCCTCTCTTCCACAGGTAGGCTTCATTTAATGGCAATGCAAAAGTATCTCACACCTTCCTTTGTTTATTTGCTTTCATGATGCTCCATATTCTGCTGCTGCTTCTCCGCCTGGCTTGCAGTCCTGTGCTTCTGACTAGAACTAACATCTATTTCTTCTCCAAGGTGGACATCCCTGAGACACTTTCTCACTCCTTGCTGGGCATGGCAACTTTTATTTCCCTATTATACATCAAACATGATTTGGGGTCTTCACTTTATTTAATCTGATAACCGGCCCAGATACAAGAGCATCATCCTAAAGTGTTACTCTGACTTCCTACAGTAGCATGAAAAAGTTGTGGTAACTTTTGATCATCTTTCCTCAGCTTGGTCCTCACCCCACTGGCTCTCATCTGGCTGGGAAATGGAAGCATTTCAGTACAGTGAGGCAGCCTTTCTCTGTTGGGATTTCAGGCTGGAGCAGAAAAAGGAAAACCCTGTTGTCCTGAGATTTATGGCCACTTTACAGACCCCTGCCATAACTTGGAGGAGGCTCAGGCAGGCCCACAACTATGTGGCCCCACTAGACCTCTGAGCTTCCTCAGATTTGTCCACCATAGACAGCTCCTGGGTTTCTCACTGTGTCCAGGTCACAGCTGATCCCTGGTGGTTTCTGCTGAAATGATGTCACCTGTCAGAGTTGTTGCAGGTAAACCCAGCTGACATCCCTACCATAGCAGGTGAACAGTGATACAGCTCCACTGATTTCTGATTTACTCCCATTTAAATGAGCCTGGAATTTGCCCTATCTGTTTAAAAGGGTAAACCTAGGTAAACCTATATAGCATCCTTCCAGTATGTCATGAAGCCTATGTGCTGTGCCTCTGTATAGACTACACAGTATGCCCTGTGGAGAGCCGCTTGATCCTGCTGACCACTCTGCCTTGGTTCTATTTCCATTTCTGCCCTGACCTAGGCTAGAGGTCTAGATATTAGAGGAGTCACTTCCCATCTCGGTGCTTCTGTTTTCTCTCCCCTTCTTTGCCTATGGTGTCTGTTTAGACCAATAATATGCAAATCACAGGCAGAAGGATGGGTGCTAGAACCTGGCTGCTGCTGCTTCTCTCTGGGGTGACCCACTGCTACCATTTCTCCCCACTGTGACCTATGGACAGTGTCTGCTTCTGAAGCCCGCCCCCACCCCAGCTGAATGCTAGTGAAGTCCCACATGCATGGGCTGGATCAAATGGCTCCATGGGATGGATTCAGCCCATGGGACATAAGTTGCCAACCCCTAATTTAGACTGTAAACTCTTTGGGCAAGGACTGTATCATACTATGTGTATGTAGAGCAACTAGCACAATGAGTCCCAAGCATAACTGAGGCTCTAAATGCTACTACTAGTATTAAAACTGTAGCACTTTGCACCTACTTCATTAATCTGTGCTGGATTCTGCCCTTTTCTCATGAAGTATTCCAGATTCTGCTCTGCTTTGCACCCATGGTGCTCTGCTCTAACTCCAGGGTAGGGTAAAGGGAGCTAATGGTACAACAGTGTTTTTCAGGACACACATTTAAGGGAAACTTGTAGTGTTCTGTGTGGGGACTAAAAAAACACCCCAAACCAATTAATTAACTGGATTGGAAAACCTTGAGTGGAAAGAATGTCTATTCCCTTCACTGACTCACAGAATGAAAGGGGGATCAGCTGCTCAGCCAGCCTTGGAAGATGCTCTGAATAGCACATGTTAAGACATCTTCACTGTAAAGCAACAACAGGAATCAACCTCCACAGCTTGCAGACAATACAAAGGGTCACTTTCAACACACTGTGCATGCCTTTTAGTCACGGGACTCCCGTGACTGTAACGTGCTGACTGTAAAACCCTCACTTGGACCTTGGATCATCAAAAGGCAATGGTCCTGCTGGACATGCTATGTGAAGTAGAGGTGTGTGAATTTGATTTGGATTTGGATTCAGCACAAATTGGGGACAGTGATTCGATTCGTTGATTCGGATCACTGTCCCCGATTCAATTTGGTTGAATCCGAATCTGAAGATTTGATGCTGATTCGGACATGGACACAGCTTTACACGTTTTTTCTACATACCTAGAGGTACCAGGCAGTTCATGAATGCTGCAATGCTGGGGCACATGGAAGGGACCGGAAATACTTCCGGTCCACTTCTGGGTCTGCCTGGAAGCACACTGGGGTGGCCCCCTCAGCTTGGAGATCAGCCATGGGGGGACCCCAGGTGCCCCCCCAGACCCAGGAGACACCAGTCGCCAAGCCAAGCCAAGCGGGTGCGGGGGGGGCCCCAGCGTGCTCTCCAGTGGCCCTGGGAGTGGACCGGAAGCGCTTCTGGTCCACTTCCAGGACTGCTGCCAAGCACGCTGGGGAGCCCCCTGTGCTCCTGTGGGACACTCCATGTGCCCCAGCATCGCAGCATTCACGAGCCGCCTGGTATCTAGAGGTATGTAGAAAAAACATTTAATGCTGTGTCTATGTTCAAATCACCGAATCTTTCCAAATCTCTCTGAATCAATTTGGAGGGTTCTGATTCAATTCAGAGAGATTCAAGGGTCCCCTGATTCAAGTCAGATTCAGAGATTTGGCCACTGAATTGGGCTGAATCTCCGCCGAATCGAATCAGGGACCAAAGCTTTGCACACCCCTAATGTGAAGCCTGCTGATTCACTGAAGCGCATGGCTCCCTGTGCCTTGTGGGTGTTAGACAGGTGGGCATGGCTCAGGACAGACATTCAAAAAGCCCAAGCCTGAATTGATTCAATTTTTGCAGGTTAGTTTAACCCGGCTAGGCTAAACCAGTTTGTAACCATACAGAAATCCCCTCTGGACTGAAACAACGCAGGCACATGCCTGCAGTGGCTCAGGCTAGAAGCCAGGGGGTGCTGGAGCAGCTCTCCCTTCCCTTCCATAGTCCTGAGCTGAGGGGGGCGTGGCCAGGCCTGGAGAGGACACACTGATTAGGGAGGGGTTCCCCACTCTTCTAATCAGCCCAGCAGGGAATAGATAACACAGTGTTTATTACCCCTAACTCAGTGTTTATCACACCATTAAGAAAACAGCAGAGGGACACATGTTGATTCTGCCTTTGTCCCGTGTGCCACAGCACGGACTGTAGCCAGCATGTGGTCTGCTAGTGAATGCTGTGTGTCTGTGTAAGGCAGAGGGGATGGGGACCCTCTGCTTAGCAGGGAATGGTTGGGAGGAGGGGAGCAGGGGGGAAATGAGGCAGACGCCTGCAGTCTCTGCCACAGCTCCAGCCAGGGAGTAGAGGGGAGGGGCCAGCCCTGCTGTGGAGCAGAGAGCCCTGCCCAGCCCAGACAGCATGCCAGGATGCTGGGGAAGTCTGATTTAACCTAAACCAGCAAGGGGTTTGGGACAGACATTGCATAAACTGGTTTGACCCGAATCAGTTGAGTCTGATACTACATTCAACCAAATTTATATCAAACCAATTTCAGCCATTTTCAAACTGGTTTATTTTTACTGAACATCTGTTCTGTTACAGGTTTAAACCAGTTACTGATCACTTAAACCGGTTTATGTGTAATGTCTGTCCCTAGCCTAAGAGAGGACCATAGGTGTGAGCTGAGCTGTCTGCAAGCAGGAACCCTGACTGCAGCTGACATTGGGCCAGTTTTTGTGCTGTTTCATCCTTGATTTGAATTCTTTTAAAGTGAATGGACAAGGATAAATTAGGCCAATGGAGTCTCATTTTGACTTTGATCTCAGATTACTCCAGATTCACGCCAGTTTAAATGAGAGTAGTCCCTGCCCTTCAGTTTCCAACATCAATAATTCTCTTCCTTCTCTTCCTTTTGGGTTGCTCTTTCAGGGTCAGATCTCTGGCCAGCACACATTCTGGCAGCTGCCCTGAAGCCACTGCCATTACAGTGGTTTGCATCTTTTGGAGACCTGGACCTCCACATTTCCACAGGTTCTCCCTCAAGGACAATTTCAACAGGCTAAAGAAATAAATACAGGTATTTTCTTCAGGCTTCTGGTAGGTGGAATTTCCACATCCTGGTATCCCATTGCTTTCATTATTTGAATGTCTGTATTTCCTGTCTCTAATGTAAGACAGCAGAGGCTAGACCTGCTTGTGATATGCCAGATGCTTTCTCACCTAAGGCATGCATCCCACAGGGGTACAATATTAGTAGCAGGAGCAAAAGGATCCGACTTTAATCAGTAAATGTCACAAGCATATTATTTCTCTCCTGTCCAAAAACCTAATGAATCAGGGAAATTTTTTAAAAATGCATTAAATCTAATGAATGTGTATTTGACTGGGAAAAGTGATTTCTAGACCTTGTCCACATAAGACATGCAGTTTATTGGCTCAGAACTTAACCTCCTCCCAGGATGTGGTTTTAGTCACAAAAGGAATTCCAAATGAAACAACAGAAAAACCAGCCTAGGGCTTCTTACCAAGCTTGGCTGCTTCCTGGGGCTCCTCTCTAAGCATTTTTCAGCCAATACTCTAGGTCCTCTCTCACTAGAGAGACTGCTCCCACTTTTTTATAGCTGGGTAGGGTAATAAGCCAGTTACACCAATGAATCAGCAGAACCACGAAGAAAGGACGAATGGTCATATGAACTGGGATTTGGGCAATCTGGTCCTATTTGCCACTCTGTCACAGATTCTCTCTTTGGCCTTGAGGAAGTCACATGATCTCTTTGGGACCTGGTTCCCATCTATAAAATGGAGAGGTTAAAGTTTCTTTGTTGTCTTGTCTAGACTTACCGCTCTTTGAGGCAGGGGCCCTCTCTTGCTATGCATCTGAGTACGCTAGTACTTCAATATCAGCCTATAGGTGCCACTGTATTTCCACTACTGAAACTAACAGGAACTCAATTCAGCCTTCCCTCGTCATCTCATTGCCTGCTAAGAGGGTGAGGATTTTCAGACAAACTCTGCCAACCTATTACAATATATATGAGTCTAGCAGTGTCTGATGGTGCTTAAAAAGGAACTAATATGTTTAGAACTGTTTGAAAACTGTGAATTCTCTGCAGGAAATTTTTGGCAATGAACTGAAATATTTTAGCTGAAAAACATACCTTGAAGCATTTCAGTCATGAACCGAAACATGACATTTTGGAAATGCTGTTAAGGTTCCACACGGGTGCTGAAGTTCAGATATCACACACTTCCAGCCCCTTATCGGCCAAATTTTCTGGTCAGACTGAAGTCCAACATGCCCTTGCTTTTTGGTGAGAGAAAGCATGCATCATGGGAATAATTACCCACAGTGCATCATGGGATATGAATTCTGACCGAATAGTTTGGCCCATAGAAAATACAGACCCAAAGCACCCAAACAACGCACAGCTCCCCCAAGGCACTTTTCCATATGCAAATATTTTGTTTTTTAGGCATTTTGTTTTTCTATGAAAAAAGAATTGGGTTTTTTGGGGCCAAAAAACAGTGGGTTTTTTTAATTAAAATTTTCCTTTGGTTAAAAGAACTCATTTCCTGTTAAAAAGCAGTTTTTGATGGAACATTTTTTACCATTCCTAATTAAATTGATATAATCAGGGCTCCTCATGATCCTCCACTATGATTATATTTTTGTCTCTGTTGGCTCTTCCCTCATCCAACGACCATATTTTGAACAAACAATTATGAATGACTTTTTTTTTTTTTAATTTCCTGCTAGTACCAAACATGTAAACCGGTAAAAGCTGGGGAAAAATACTGTAAGGGACAAAAAAAGCACAAATAAGAACAAACAAGACCCAACTCCTCTATGCGCTAATTGGCACCTCTTTTTTCCTTCCAAGTGCTCTCTTGGCAGACTCTCCTCGGAGAAATGTACTGACCTGACCTTCAACCCAACTGACTTGCAATAGGAACTTATACTGAGCTTGTTCTCCACCATTACCCCAAATCTCTCTCACGCTCTGTGGCTGCTTCCTTGCTAGCTTTCCCTAATGTATATCTATGCTGCAAGCTATCCTTTCTCCGCTGAATTATCTCAAGCTTATTTGCATTAAAACTCATCACACTTTCATCTGACCAGTCACTTAAATTAGCCAGCGTCCCGGGGTATAGCCATGGAAATGAGCACTCCTGGCTCTGAGTTATTTCCTAGCCCAGTTGCTGGGGTTGGAGCTCTTTTAGGAATAAGCAGGAAGGTCTAGGTCCCTTCTATGATCATCTCTTCTATGTTCTTTGCAAGACTTTCCCCCTTTTCCTGAGCCTTCTTTCAAAGCTGAAGAAGTGTTGAGCTCTGCAGAACAGAGGCCAGAGAACCTGCTCACCCGGTCTTTCTCTCACTGGTCCTTATAATTTGTGTTCGGAGGAGTGTGCATCTGTGAAGAAACTGTCCCAACATGACCAGGCACACAGCAAAGGAGGCCATCACATTTCATGATGATTTCACTCCATATAAAAAGCAACATTCGCCAAGATGTGTGTGTCTTGCGAACTGCCCCCATCCAGCAGCCCCTGCTTCCCACACCATTCCTGCCATGTTCCTTTAAAAGCCACAGGACAATGACAACCAACCAAGAACAGACAGAAGGAAAGCAAGAGACAGAGGAAGAATTGCAAAGCAAAGTTTGAGACCTGCATAGTGCTGCATGCCTGCGTAGGCTTGTTGGAGGGGATCTGCCACAGTGGGACTTTGAGCTGGAAAGAGAAAAGAAAGGAGAAGGAAGAAAGAGTAAGCAAGATAAACCAGAGGTGAAACAGCTTGCACAGCAGGAGCAGCCAGAAGGAATCACTCAGAGATACAGCGAACCAAGTTCCTATTGGCTTTTTTGTCCCCTGTTTCCTATCGTAGTTTAACAAAGCAATTTGTGCTGGGATACACCGTAACAGGGGCAAACCTAATCACTAATTATTCAGAATCTGGGGCCCACCTGATGCGGCCTCCAGAATAGTTAGGCTTCATTCTGGGAGATGTCAACAGTTCTCCCTCCCAGCCCCTTCAATACGAGTTCAGAGGCCTTTGTGCCCCTAGGTTCTGGGCCCTTCTAAGGGAAATAAGTTTTAATAGGAAAGCAGCCAGGTTTGTGTCAGCCAGGGCAGTAGCTTGAAGCTCTTGTCCTGAGAAGTATGGCAGAACACAGCCTAATTGGACACGCATTTTCCATCCCAAGAAAATATTCAAGATTTTAAAATATGTTCTGGTTCCGAATTAGGAGAAAAGGTCACTATTTTGAAATATACAGTTCTAGACTGCAGGGGTATCAAGTTCACTGGTGTCCCTCAGGCCAGATCTGTGGCAATCACAACGATTGTGGGGCAAACAGTAATGTGGGGGTTAAGACAGCTGTTGCTTGCCCCTCTCTCCCTCCCCATGGCTGACACATGGGCCCATGGGGGGCTTCACTGTGGGGAATTCAGCAGTAGGCCTTGCTTCTACTGCCCCCCGCTTATTGCCCTCCTTCTGGGACCCCCAAGGGCTGGGTTAAACAGCTCCACAGGCTGGATCCAGCCCATGGGCCATATGTTTGAACCCCTGGTACATCATATACACAAATACACAATGCCGCCTTCCCCCCATAATTGACTTGGGGCAATCAAAACATTTTGTATAATTTCAAAATATTTCACTTGAACCTTTTTCTTTCATATTTTGAAGGTGAACTGGAATGAAATTTCTAAATGAGAAAAAATGCTTCAAACAGAAAAAACTGAGCATTTCCTTCCAAAATGCTGACGTGGGACATTCTAACACTTTCAAAGTATTGTAAAATGCTGTTTTAAATGCAGTGAAAGCTGCTCTTTCATAAGAAATTTTTCTCTTGCTTTTGTAGTGGCAGGAGAAAAAAACAAACCTTTCACTGAAAAATTCCTGACTGGCTCTATTGGCAAACACTAGCAGGACAACTGCTTTTTATAGTGACCAGGGACAGAACACAACCAATGCAACCAACAAAAACCTGTGGGTCTGGACATGGACTTGGCTATAACCACACACTCTAGCACTCTCCTGCACAACAGTGTAGTCCTCATAGGACTGTTTCATGTGAATTAGTATGTCAGAAGTCTGATGGGTACAACCTTTGGCTCTCACAGACCCAGTGAAGCTAGGAAGGGGTAAACTAGAGATTAAAGGGACTGTATCCTGTCACCAATTGCCCGCATCATCCCTACAACTAACTGATTGTTTGATTTAAAGCCACATTGAGGAGTGAAAGGCTCCATATTGCCCCAACCTCCTGCACACACACTTGCGAGTTACTCTTGGCTCTTTTATGACCACACTGTGTGCTCACTATCCTGTAGACAGAATGGCATGGAGGTGCTTTGCTCTACAGAGGAGCTGCAGGCAGTCCTGTCTCTCTGTGTGCCCATGTGCTAAGTGAATTACAAAGGCTGCAAATGTGGCCAGCTCCTATGCAGAAGGCACAGAGGTGAGGGGATACTCCACCTCTCCTTATGCACTCCTGCACAGAGGCTCCTGGCCTCCAACTTTTGTCTATGGCAGTGGTTCTAAAAACCTTTTAAGACTCAAGGCACCCCTTCGTAGACTCTAGCTGCCTCTTAGAAAATATCAGCTCTTAGTTTTCACTTGATTTTTATCTACAGAAAAATAATAGAGCAATTCTTGTGTTGCAAACAACTCAGAAATACTGCAACAGGACAGAATGCTTTTAACACCCTGGATTCCTATTTGAAATCTCTGGGTTTATCTTGCAAATCCATTAACACACCTAACAATGCTAACATTGCGTGGCACCCTGCAGCACCCCTGAAAGGATCTTAACACACCCCATGGGGTAGCCAGACTGTGGTGGAGAATCACTGGCCTAGGGTCAAATCCTCCCCACCACCCATTTCACCTCACCCCCCGCAGCCACTCCCCAGACACTCAAAACAGCAGGATACTCCCAAGCTTCCTCCTCCAAGGTCTTGCCTGCCCCCCCCAGCACCTACCTGGGTACGGATGGATTCCATTGGTGTAAATGGTCTCTGATGCTGGCTGCCCATTGGTCTGTGGTGGGAGGGGGCTGAACCCATTCACTCCAATGGGCGTGGCTATGCTGGGGACCGGTGCAGTGCTGATCCCTGGAGGAGTGCTTGTACCTATGCCCCAAGGAGACAGGGTAGCAGGAGAGAAAGAGTGACAACTTTAGCTCTGGGTGCGCCTCAGGGTAGGGATTGGTGGCCTACAAGAAGGACTTGAGAATCAACGCTGAAGTCAAGCAGAGGGATTTTGACTGGTGGGTTGCTTTGGATGAAGAGGCTTGTGGAGGGCTCATTACAGATGCCAGACCAACCAGTTGCACCAACCAGACCCTTGTGGTGCTTTGAGGTAACCATAAGCCTCAGTGCTGAAATTGTGATGCTATCAGCTAGCTGGAGCCAGCAGGATGTGGCCATGCAGGGGGCACACAGAGGGAAGACAGGCTAGATGATGCTGCCTGCTCCAAACACCAACCCAACTAAAGGTACAGGCAGCCTTAGGGAACTAATGTGTCAAGGTATGTCCACTAAAGGGCTGGCTGGGAGCTACCTGTATAACATGCCCTCGGATTAACATCCAAGCTATTGGTCACAGGTTCTACAGATGGTGCTGGAAAGTCAGACTCTTCCCAGGATTGTCTTTCTTGGCCAGGCCCATAGTCTGCAGTACCCTCAGACACTGACAGCAATGAGGACCTAAAGCAGGCTTGTCCAACATACGGCCCGCGGGCCGCCATGTGGCCCACCAAGCCATTTTCTGTGGCCCGCGGTGCTGTGATGGGAAACCCCTTGTCCCTCCCCCAGGCCCTCAGCATCTTCCTAATGGCTGCTGAAGGGCTGGGGAAGGAACAAGGTTCCTACATGTACCACGTCAGCTTGACGTTGCCGATGCGGTGCGGCTCCTCCCCTCCCCCTTCATTTCACTGTGTCCCGTCCTAGCCCCACCCCTCCCCTCCTCATTTGCATGCGGGTCCCACCGGCCGCGTGGGCCGCAGCAGGTCACGGTGCAGCGGGTGGGTGGGTGCGGATGCCGGCGCAGAGGGATGCTGCAGCCGGGCTGATGGGAGATGCTGCTGCCGCTGCTGCTGTGGCTGTTGTGGCGGGAAGGTGGAACCACTCTCGCCTCTCTGCATCCCCCCTGCACCCGCAGACATTGCGCTGAGGGTGGTGAGTCACGGGCCCTGTGGAGGGAGGGAGCCCTGCCGGTCGGGCTCGGGCTGCCCCGGGGCAGAGGGAACAGGGGGGTGTCCCTGCACATCCTGCACCCCCCTGTAGGGTCTCCGCATGTCCCCCTGGTTGCTGAGCTAAGGCGCGCAGGTGTGGAAGCATCCTCAAGGCCACCCAGGTGGCAGGGAGGACACGGCAGAGTCAGGCGATGCCCCTTGACCCCTGCCCCCCCAGGCCGCGGCTGGACTGGACAGGCTGCGCAAGCGCCTGCTGCTGCCAGCCCACTGGGTGATAAAAAGTTTATGATCCGGCCCCACATTCATAAAGTTTGGGCACCCCTGACCTAAAGCAATGAAAACTCCAATTGTCGGATACCCTCCAGTCTTTGGTACACCTTTCTGCCCTTATGTAGGATGCTAATGCCCTTTTTCCTCACCTGCGTCTTCTGAGCTGAGCAGAGCATCAAGAGAAATAGATGTTCTTCCCAGTAGGCAGTTTTGCACCGGGGGTGGTGTCTGTTAGAAACTTATGGGCCTCTGATGCACAAAATAGAAGAGGCCAGGCCTAGCTCCCTTCTTCCACTTCCCATCCATTCTAATACCACTGGTTCTAGATCTGATGTGAGATCTTATCTGCACAGCGCCTGCTGAGTGGGGCTGGCCCAGCTGAAGGTCTGTCTTCTCACTGAGCAGGACACCATGCATGCAGACATAGGGTGGAAGCAACCAAGACAGTGGTGGGTACCCTGGTCACCCTTCCTGCATGTGGAAACACATGTTCCAAAAAGCTCCTCTTTCCATGCCTTTTACTCTTTGGATCTCCATGTTTTAGCTAAGTTCCCTGTTGGGCCAGGCTGGCAGCCCTGGAGGCGAGACAGACACAGGATGGAGGTGCTATGACTGGTACCAAGAGAGCTTCCTACCCACATTGCCCTCTGTCAGGGCTGCTGCTCTCTCCTCTTGTGGGGCCATCTATGGGGCTTCAATCCTCCCTGCCCATTCTATGTATTGCTGCCCAATGCAACTGCCAACCAGTGCCTGGTAGGGGTGCTTACCAGATATGGCCACCTGTCCTTAAGGAACTGGCCTCAGATTCCCACTTCACTTCATAAAGGCACAGCCGGCAGATAAAAAAGACTCATGGTTGTTACTGTCCCAGTCCCCAGTTCATGTATAGGGGACAGGCGCCCTATACATGAAAAGCAGTATCACTGACCATTCTCAGGCCTCTACATCTTCCATACTCCCAATGTGCCTCTGGGCACTCATGCAGCACTGGGTGACAAGTACCTGATGAGGGGGTCATAGGCGCAGCCACCAGCCCGCTGACATTGAAGGCTGCCATCTGCTGCATCTGGGCGGCGGCGATGGCTGCCATGGGGTTCAGACAGGTCCCTTGTGCTGCAGCCATCAGGGCTGCCTGCTGCTGCATTATCTTAAGGAAAGAAAGAAGGAAAGAGGGAGGGAGTGGAAGTGAGTGAGTGAGAGAAAGAAAGAGAGAGAGAGAGAGAGATGGATGGGCAAAGGAAAATGAGAGAGGAAGGGAGGGGAGAAAGAGGGAAGAGTCAATTAGCTTCTCTCATTTGGGCCTATGAACCATTAGTGATTCCTGTGTAGCTGTCTTCATCGCTGCTGGCTACAGCAGTGTCTTGGGTACAGCAGAGAGGGGCCTGAGCTATTGATGCCCTTTGGATAGATTAATTAAAGAGAGAAGGGGTGTTTTCCATGCTGTGTGGATCCTAGCTCTGGTTGTAAACCTCAAGGAGACAGTGGGTGGGCTCTGGATCTGGGTCTGTTTGTTTCCTGGCTTGTTTTTGAGCAGCCTAATGACGTTCAAGAAAATATTGTCCGGGTGGGACTGAGCAAGGCAGGTGTTTTCCTTTCAGCCTGTATGGCTCTATTGGCAGCGCTCTTGTCTCTGGGCCAGCAAGAAGTGGATTAAGCTGCCACAGCAGGACTTGGGCTTATACCAAATATTCACACTAACCTGCAGTACTGGAAAGAGAGAGAGCCTGCTGCTGCCTTGCTAGAAATGCAGAACCTTCAGATAAGAGGTGACACTGAGGTCCTATTTTCTGGCTGTCTCTGGTGGCTTTCCAGCCAGACGTATCCAGACAAATTGCTCATTTGGAAAAGTGCCACTGCCAGCACTCCGTCCCTGGGTCAAACAGATCTCAGGCATCGTGTGTCCTATTGTAAAGTGCTTACTTGCAGGCAATGCATTGCTATTATCAAGCTTGTTACTTTGGAAAGCATAACATTCATAGATCTTAAGGCCTGAACAGAGCATTGTGATCATTGAGTCTGACCTCTTATATTAAAAAAAGGCTAGCGAGTTCACCCAGAGTGTCTGCTGTACAGAGCCTAATCTAGCATTTCAGAATGAAAGGTGCTACATCAAATATCATCCTATTGTGCTCTGCTCTATGTGAGTTCAACACTTTGTACCAGGTTCTCATTTACTGAGTAGATACAATTAAACATTGTGAGAGAGGTTGTGACACCAAGCACTGTTTGGGCAGGTGTTTATGAATGCTTCTATCTGCCCTGCTATTCCACGCTTGGTTTCTCACGAGTAAAGACCTGCAGAACCACGGTGCCAAATTGACCCAAAACATATAGCAGTTTTGGAGATATCCTTATAGCTTTAAGGCACTGCTGATTTGTAGGATGGTTTCAATAGCAAGCGCATTTCAATAGCAATAGCTCAGTGGGTTCGAGTGCGGGCTTTGTTTCGGCCTTGAATGAGAATATGGTGACTTTGACTGATCGGTATTTCAATACAGTCTTGACATGACTTAAATGTCGGGGGTGGAGGGGACATTTGGGATTTGATTATCCACGCCTGCTATTTATGCCTATACATGCCACTTAAGACAGCAGCCACAAAAAAAATCCAGAGAAAATTCCTACGTGAAAAGCCATTAGTCAAGTTTTTCAGCTTCTAGCACCATGAGCTTGTAGGAAGTGGGTGTTTCTCTTGCTGGCCTGCCACTGTTTTCTAGTGGGTAGCAAGTGTTGATCATGGCTGAAGGTGGTGAATGCCAGCACTGTTTTGTGTCATATGTTTTCCAAAAGGGTGGGGAGGCCAGCTGACATGTGCAGGGGGCACTGAACCTTATTGCTTAATAACGTGGGTCTTCACTAACATCAGGCCACTCTATCACTAAGAATTTACTGTGGGCATCCTCAAGTTAGGGTAAGTGCAATCTATATGAACGGATCCCCATTCATTCTGAGAAGGGCACCCACACAAGATGACTCCACATCTCCAGTGGACATTTAATTCTCCATCTGATTAAGCAGCATCTCCTACCGCTTGCGTGTATGCCCCATAGGCTCCAAACTGGATAGTCATTGGGTTGAAGATCCCCAGCTGTCCTGCCATCTGATGCATCCGTCTTAAGGTCCTCTCCTTGTCTGTGTCTGCAAACTTCACCACCAGACTGGAGGAGGCGCCCTAGGAGAAAGAGAAAGAACAGTGGCATCACTTTGTGCCCATGAGCACTGGTTTGCAGGGGCCTATAACTGTTAGTGATTAACACAACACATCTAATGGTAACTGTCATACATCTACTCCATACTAGGTTGTTTTATTAACTATTTGTTAGATCTGAACTTCTTCTTCTGTGTTGGGTAGAGAGAGTTCCTCAGCTGGTGTAAATCAGCATAGCTGCACGGAAGTCAATAGAATTATGCTAATTTAAACCATCTGTTTTCTCAACCTGGCTCGTTCGTTTATTTGTTCTTTCTTTCTCTCTTGCTTTGTATATGATGTCCTAGGAATTTATTTCAGGACACCTGAAACATCCCAGAATTTCAATGCCTCAATCAACATGTACAGGGGTTATTTTAATATCTAGAAACTATTTGTTCGTGATGCATTGCACTGAGCAGAATAAAAAGGAACAAACAGGCCAGCAGAATGAGCAGTCAGTGTGATGAACAGCGTCTAAAATGAAGACAAGTCAAATGAATGCTGATACTATCTGTACTGCTGTCTTGCTTGGAGTGAAGGCGACTTATAGTAACCCAGTGTTTCATGATGCGCTTATTCAGATTCTTATTGGAAAGAATCCTCCCCTCTGAAAATTAGGAATGGTGAATCAGAAGCAAACGTTTATGAAAGAAACCCTGCACCTTTATTTTTTTGCATGAATACTTTGTGACTTTAAAATGCATTGCAAGAAGAGTATTCTGGTCTGAAAATGTAGTCACCTTAGCTCAGGCCAGGCCTGGGAAGTCCTGAGGGCAGGGAGGTGTCCTCTTCCTTCTCCACTGCAGGCTCCAATCACTTTAATTTATATGAGCAGTTGATTTTGTTTATCCTGCACCTGCCAGGTTGTTTCTCAGAACTCGCCTCACGACATTTGTGCAAATTCATTTCCAGAGTGATTCTACCCCAACTTTGCTAGAGTCACCCCAGGGATAAACTTGGCCCAGGTTGTCGATAGCAATGGCTGATCAATGCAATGTTTAATTATAGTCGTCTTTTATAATCATGGCTGTTCTCTGGACTCTGTTTCCTTTCTCTCTCATTCAGAATTTTGACCTTCATTGTTAATTAAATGGCAACTTTCTCCAGCTAGTGATTGAATTATCCCCTACCACCTGCCTGGAGAGCTCAACACTGATCAAAACAAAAGGATGGACCTTGTGTTATTTTACAACAAATTGTTTGATCCTTGAGATTTTGATCCAATTAAAGGGAGGATCAAATTAGCTGGTGATTGGATTAAGGAGAAAGCTCTGTGCTTTGGGCAGGGAGGGAGAGAGCACGTCCAGTGGGAGTGCCCATTTCTACCCCTCCTGAGACTACAACCCTGTGGCAGTTTCCTGCCAAGAACACTGTGAGACGAAGCAGGTTATGCCCTTGGAGCTATGGGGGGACTGTGGGGACCTTCCAGGTTTCTGAGCAACTTTTTCCTGTCTTTAGAATTACAGCAAAAGATGAGAGAGAACTGAATGTTAAAGCTAGCACCCAGGGTCAGCCAAGTCAGCTACATCAAAATGGCCAAATGTGTGCCTGGGAACGTCACAGCCCAGCTGCCTGCCAGGATTCAGGGACGTGAGGCATTGCACCTAAACGTGCCCCCTCTCAAGGCTGGGTTTCAAATCCTGACTTAGAATAGAGGCCTCTGCAGTTCTCTCTTCAGTTCTTGGGAGATCTGTTCCTACATCAGAAAAGCAGCCTGTCCCACTCCAAGAGTCTGCTTAATTGAGGTCCAAGGCTGCAGTATCAGGGAGAGCTGCAAGACAGGACTGAGGAGCACTGGCAGAGAGGAGATGGTGCAGGTCAAGATGGTGGCAGCTGGCCAAGCTGCCAGTGCACACACGGGTGAGGGGGACACAGGAGTGGGGTAGCAACAGGTTCCTTCTTTCAGGACTGAAGTACATTAACAATGCAGCACAGGGAAACCTCACCTGCACTTCCCTGCACTGGCCAGAGGGCTTTGGGCTAGGTGGGACTAAGCAGGACCTCTCTAACTCTGTTCCCTGGAGTTCATTCAGCCTGTCACTTGACTCAGACCAACGGGCCTTTTGGCCCAATTGACTCTTCCGGCAGAACCTGTTGTGTGGTTCCAGCTTCTTCTTCTGTGTGGAACCTGCCTCTTCTTAGGGGCTGCCCTCAGGACCTGGGCAGAAGCAGGTGAGTTTGGGATGGAATCGCAGCCCAGCTGAGCAGGTATGAACTAGAAACAGTCCATGAATCACTACAGCAAGTTCCCCTTTCAGACACCCCTGTCTGAAACCTGTCAGTTCAGTGGGTTTGCACTGGAGTGGGCCCATGGATTGGACTGGACTCCAGGCTGAGCTCTCATCTGGATCCAATGGACAGCTCCCACAGATCTCACTTGTGGAAAGGAAGGAAACCCCAAGTGCTTTTCCCCTCCAGCTCTAGCTCTGGCACTTACCGGCATAGTTTGGCTGCCGTGAAGGCTGTTGATGGCTGCTTGAGCCTCTGCATGGCTCCCATATTTTACAAAGGCACATCCTAGGAAAGAAAAGGAAAGCATGTTGTCAGCTTGGAAGCCAGACAAAGAGAAGCAGTTCACTGTGGAGGAGAACATGTGCTCAGGCCTGTGACCCCACCTGTACAAGGGCACAGGTAACTCTTAACACTTGCAAGGAACTCTGAAATCCTTAGGCGCGAGGGAGGATGTCAGTGCTGGCTTTGGAATGGAGGAGGAAGACAAGGACGAGGCTGAGCTGGATGGAGGCTTCAGTGGTGCTCTCAAAGCCCATGTGTGTGTGTGTGTGTGTGTGTGTGTGTGTGGCGCGCACACGGCTTTGGTGGTGCTCTCAAAGCCCGTGTGTGTGTGTGTGTGTGGGGGGCACACACGCGGCTTCAGTGGTGCTCTCAAAGCCCGTGTGTGTGTGTGTGGCGCACACATGGCTTCAGTGGTGCTCTCAAATCCTCTGTGTATGTGTGTGTGTGTGTGTGTGTGGAGCACACATGCATACATTCTGTTGGGTAGTTAGCCCCCATGACCAGTGTCTAGAGGATGGTCCCTGGAGTACCCTGAGCATGGAGCTATTAGGGATACATGGGAGGGGATGAAGTGGACCTTCAGGCATTGGCTGGAGAAAACAGGGGTGTGGTGGCAGGTAGTCATACACTGGGCTGGAGTCCTGGGATAGACTCTACGCCCAAGTGTGTCACGGTTCCTGCTCCAGTCTTTGATGGCAACAGCTGCATCTGCGTGGATCCAAGCTCCATCCCCCAGGGATGGCAGGAGTGTACTGTGACTGCTTGATTTGGGCCTGAAGTGCTCAGTCCTGCAGGTTCTGTCCATGGTGCAAAGGGAGCTCTTCTCCAAGGGCAGGTGACAGCCAATTGCTTCCACTGAGAGACACAGCAAGGACCAGTGCCAGGCCAGTTACCCACTCTGCCCCACTCCAATCTGCTATTGCCCTCTGGGACTCCAGCTCTGCCACCACTGCTCCATGCTCTGGCCTCTGCTCAGAACTCACCAACCCACCAAGCCATTCCCTTTACCCCACCTTAGGCCCTCAGTTTGACCCCTGTGTCTGGCATGGTTGCCTGAGAGCTCCCCAACCGCCCCTGGCTCAGGGAGCTGGACTATATCAGCCATTACCCTGCCCAGCTCTCCCTGACCATATCCATGACCACCTTCCTGTGCCCTGGGCAGAGGCTGCCATGATGATCCATCTGGGTGCCTGGAGCACCTCTCACACAGCTGTATCCCACCCCATAGAAAATACAGTCCTCCTGCTATGAACACATGTGCTGCTCTCTTTTTCCACAAACACCAATATTCACAGAGCCTGGAGTTCTGGCCCAAGCCATGTCACATTTATGCTTGATAAGATGACTCCCAACAACCTCCAACCAGTGCTCAGATAGTGCTGGATCTGTCTCCCACCTTTGCTGGCTCCATCAGGCCCTCTGAGGATGGTGCATTCCTCGATCTGTCCAAAGGGCTCAAACAGCCGCCGGACATCATCTTCGCTCTGCTGCTTCCCCAGCATTCCCACGAAGAGCTTCCTGTCTTCTAAAAGCAAGCCACACTCCATTAGCAAGTGGACCAAGTGTGCAGAAGGTGTGCTGGTGAGGCTACTGGACAAGGGGCAGCCTGTGAGCATTGCAAACATGCACCTGTTCTGGAGTACTGTATCACATAGACCTTAAGGACCACGGCCAGAGGCTACATACAGCATCTCTATGACTACTGCCTCATAAAATCTCTTTCATCCCATTTTGATGTGATCCATCCATGTGGATGGCTGGCTGGTTTCTAATCCTTGGGAACCTGCAGCCCATCCATTATTCCATGCCCATGAAACATCATTGCAGACTCCCAGGGCATGTCTAAATGTGCCTCTTCTAAGTGGGCTTAGCCTAAAGTCACCATTTTTAAGGCTCATTGAGGGCATATGCCTACATGTGTGTGCCCCTAATGTGCCTTAAAAATGGCAATTTAAGGCTATGTGAGCCTAAATTTGATACTTGCATAAAGCACGTATCAAATATAGATGCAAATAGCTAAGTTGTATTTGCACATGCGTAGATGCGCTAATGCACATTAACTCAGTATACGTCAATGGATACACACTGCATTCATATGCATTAGCGCATCTGCACGTGTGCTAATGCGACTTAGCTATTCGCGCCTGAATTTAATGTGCCTTAACGCACATTAGTCCATCCATGTGTAGATGCATGCCTAAATTGCTTTAATATGCCTTAATGTTCAAAATCCATGAGGCTAGTTCCCCCCAAAATGAAGAGACTGGCTTAAAACTAATGAGCTTTAATGCATAATACACTAAGGGTTCTCATGGACCTTCTGGTTTCAGAACCTTTAGGGCCTGCTCAGATCCCCTTGCTAGGTTCTTGTCCATTAGCACCAAGGGTAAAGACCCTGAATCTTTTTTTAATGAAAGCCAAGACCTCTCCCATCATCCCTTGACTCCAGGAACTGGGGATTTAAGAGAAACATGACATATTGCAGGACTTGCAAGAGTCAACACAATGTGTTTACCTGGTTGGCGAGTTCTGTTGGGGCTTTGGACAAAGTCTTGGAGCAAGTTAGACGGAAAGGCTTGGTAACAGAAAGATTAATATATCGCTTGTATTGGTCTGCTTTCTGATGGCCTCACTGTACACTCTGGTTATTTCAGATTATTCCCCATTCTATATGAGTGGGATAGCTTTGGCAATGGGGTTGGGGTGTGGTATTGGAATGTCATTATTTGGCTCCATCCCTAATGCTTCATCTCTGGCAGTGGTCAACAGGCAAAGATTGTATCTGACCAGTTGTGCCCTGTTCTCCGTGTGGCTGGGATGGGGCAGAGGTGGGGTGGGGTGGAGGGCAGGGCAGGAGTCAGGATTATGCCTTTCCCATCTCAAAAGAAATTCTGATCTTTTGAATCATGTTTTCATTTGGAATTGGAACAAAATGTCAAAAATCTACCACAAAGTGAAATTTTCAAAATGTTTCACATTGGGTCAATTACAAAGTTTGGAATCACCTTCAAGCTTCTTAAACAATTAGTGTTGATGATACAAAGCACAATACATTTTGAACTGAAAGACTGAAACATGATGTTCTGAAAATGAGAAAACATTCTGCTTTGACTCTGCCACAATGACTTCCTTTTGATGAGAGGCAAGGATTTTTGTGGGTGATATCTTTTATCGGACCAACTACATGGTTGGGATAGACGCAGACAAGCTTTCAAATGCAATGCATTATTGCACTCGAAAGCTTGTCTAGGTCTACCCCAACCATGTAGTTGGTTCAATAAAAGATATCATGCAAAAAACTCCTTGCCTCTTGCCTATTTCCTGAATCATCACAGCTACAACATCACTTTCTTTGGATAATATTTTCTAAACAAATCTGGTCAAAATTAGCATACCACTGCTGCCCTCCCCCTCCTCCCCCCCAACCCCAAGATTTCAGGACACTGAAATGCCATTTTCCAAAGGAAAAATGTTTAGTTGGAAGATTTTGGTGCAGCTCTACTTGGGGTGCATTGCTATTCCTCCACACACACACAAGCATACACCATGAGGATCATCTGTCCTGAAGCAAGATATTTTACTGCTTGATCTCAGCCTGGACAGCTACAAATAAAGAGTGACTTTCCCAGTGCTTGTTCTCACTGCACAGGGAAACATTTCAGAGACACTTAACTGCAGACAAGCCTGTGGGTCTATAACGAACTCTCTCCGGTGAAGGTGAAGTCAAAGATGCCTCCAAGAGACCTCAGACCTAAACCTCCTTGCTTCCTTGTTTCTGTGCCCAGGGAGGGCACTATAAAGAGGGTGGTGTGTTAAGTAAACAAGAAGCAATGTGGATAAGGGTTAGACAGTGGCCATGGAGCCTTTAGTTCAACATCAACCCAGGTCTATGGTCGTTAGTGCCCCAGGACCTCTAAAGCTGGTCGTACATTTTCCAATAACAGGGACTGCTGGATAAACCTGATTTGACAACACTAAAACATGACAGAAATGTGCTTTCAGCCTAATTTTCAACAGAAAACAATCAAAAAGCTTCCTTTTGACTTTTCTATGGTAGAATAAAAAGTATCTGGAAGAGTGCCATTGAAATGAAGCACTTTGACTGTAAAATCATTCCGGTATCATCAAACTGAAATGTACTGGAAGTTTTTGCTTCGCAGGAAGTTTCAACACTTTGTTCTGCTCTGGGATGAAAGGAAAGTGATGTATGGACTAGGCAGGCTGACCTCCTCTTTCAGCCTAGAGAAGCAAGCTGAGTCTGGCAAGGATAGCATAGGTGTGTAGTGGTTGTAAGGACAGCTGATAAGGAAAGACCATACAAGGCTAACAGGCCACTCCTGAGCTTCTACCCCCCTTTAAAGAAAAGGACACTGCAGAGAGTGAAGTGGGTCACTCGTGGGAAGAGCAAGAGATTTCCTTCTTGGAAAGAAAATCAGGTCGTTAGTCTCGACCAAGTGCCCAGGAGGGCATGGCTCAAATGAACCGCCTCTTTGAAGGGGCTGTGTGTTGGGGTGAGAGGCACCGACAGAGCTGAGAGCTCAGGACTGGACTAGGAGGGCGATGAGATAAGGAGAGGTGCATTGGTATAGCTCAGAGCCCCAGGGGAACCTCTCACGGTGCCTGCCTCCTGCCAGTGCTACCTTCCCTTCATGTACTAAGTTATTCCACTCATCCCAGCCAACCAGTCAGACCATGCAGGGTGAGGTGGAGCACAGCTGGGGGGCAGCGGAGGGTGAGCGGGGAAAGAGAGAGAGACAGAGAGACTATTAAGTAACAACAATTGCATTTTTATGATTGACTATCAGAATAACCCACAGTCTCTGGCCATGCCCAAGGGACATAAATAACTTAAACACGATAGAAGTGAGGGTAAATAATGAGAATTTCATGATTATTACCAGCATCTGTCTTCTGCGGCCTGTATGGCCGGGCTGAGCGCTAATGGCATTTGACAAAGAAAATAAGGTGCCCTGTCAGAGTGTGGCCTGGAAAATAAATAAATAATGGCAGGAGACGATTAATGCTTTGTCTGTTAAGGCACCGGGAAAATTAGTTAAGGGAATAGGGCTCATATATTGTCTAGTTAAACATAAACCATCTCTATAAGAGCTGGGCTTCTATTGAGCTGTACGATTCGGCCTGGTTTAAATTTCTTTGACAGCTCCATGCTCTGGCTTTGCTCTCCACCTCCCAGGCTTTCTTCCTTTGCCTGTCCTTGGACTGCAGGTAACCTCAAACGGGGACCGCGGCGTGCGTCTTAGCAGAGCTTGTCAGAACATGAAGGATATTCTGGCCTGGGGTGACTGTCAGGAGGAATAGCTGTTCTGGGCTAACTCCATGCACAGGCAAGCCCTTAAGCGTTGGTTAGGGTGCTAGGCTGGGACTCAGGAGGCCCAGTTCTGCCACAAACTTGCTGTGTGCCCTTGGGCAAGCGGTAGCACAACAGGGGAGGGGACCAGCCTCAGGTGTGAACTATGATGGGGCACCAGAAGTCCTTACCATGGTAGGGGCAGCCATTTGGCTATAGGAGATGGGCAGCATAGCACTGCATCTGGGGGATGAGGGGAGTGGGGGACAAGTGGAATGATGCTCCCCTTCTCCCAGGATCTTTCCTCACAGTAGGTGCTGTCCTGTGCTTAGTAGTATATCTGGGGTGGGGGGGGTAAATGGGGCCCAGGGGGTGGGGGCGGGGTGTCCCAGGGAGCTGGCACCATGGGTTGCTGCTGCCCAGCTCTGCCACTGCTGCCCTCCCTCCCCCCTAGTGCTGAATGAGCTCGCTATAGCTCTGTGGGCAAGTGACCTAGACTCTTTGGTCCCATCTTTATAAAGGGGATAACCACCCTGCCCCCACTTCACACAGGACTGTAAGGATAAATACATGCAGCTCTGAAAGATAAAGAAATGCCTGCCCATACCCCTGTCCCCAGCCTCAGAGCTGAATGTGTCATTTGCCTGTACAATGTACCCCCCACCCCACTGCCAATGGCATGTGCCTTTGTCCTGCAGGTGCGTGTGGACATGCCCAGATAACTAGCCCTCATGGACATCTCTGCAAACCTCTACAGAGAACGCCCAGTAGTAGGGGACTCACTGGAGTCTGTGGGGTTGAGTTGGGCTAACGAGCCCCCATGAAGCAGCCACCACAACCGTTGCTTGCTTCATTCTAAATTATGGGAAGGCTCAATGGGCTGCCAGCCTGACCTGCCTGCTGCTACCCAAGGAGGTGCCCTGCACTCAGGGCTGCACAGTCCAGCAGACAGATACTGCTGCTCCTACGTACTGGTTGGACATCTTTCTCCTCCCTTCCAGATCCAGAAAACTTATTTACGGGGATAAATGCAAACTGGAGGAGTCTCCACCCCCATCCCCAGAGAGTGCACAGCCTGTGACTGCATGTCCAAACTCACCCCATCAGAGGGTTGTCTTTGCCAGGAGCTGAAAAGCAATAACACTACAAGGGGCTCTACCCATGCCTCCTCCCTGAGCTCAGCTATGCTTTGCTCTCCCTAGAGGACCTTCTGCATC